CAAAGTGGTTCTTTGGAAATGCACTTCTGATGCTATTTGTATTGGTCTATTCCTTCTGCCACTACTTAAAGCAAGCATCTACAGCAGGTACCCCAACCACAGCAGTTGGTAACTGATGTACAGAAGCTTCAGGCTCCCCTGGCATTTTAAGGATCTTCTCTGCCTGGTAAAAGAGACTTTCTAAATGGCTGTCAGCTAGTTCCAGTCATGAGTGCACATAACTGGGAAAAGGGGAAAAAAGCTCACTGGAACTAAACGAGGTACTGAAGTCGTATGGGTTTTCATCTTGCATCACTGTACGTAAATGTACAGCAGGGTTCAGCTGTGAACTGCTTCCTCTGGGGAAGAAAAAGGCAGCAGGGGAATAACACACCACCTTCCTCAACTGTCCCTTGTCTCTACCTGTAAAGGCTTTCAATCAATTCCTGTGATTGCCTACTATTAATGTCACCCGTTCTCTTAAGTAATGAAGCTAGCTCTTACTTAGATTTGCCTTTGTCTCTCCCTGGCACATTTCCTTGTCTAATCCTTTTTTCCAGATGGCATAAGGATGAGAGATAAGTGTTGCTAAAAGTTGCTTAGCAATGCAACACATGCAAGGTTTGGAAATGCTGACGTCCACATAAGCACTATCTATACATCACACATTTCTGCAGAGAAACAAAGGCGTGAACAACCAGAGTGACATGGAGGCCTCCAGAAAAAGAGCTACCAGTTAGCACACAAACAGGAGAGTAGGAAATGGAGAGCAAGGTTCCAGTGATGGGCTGCATTACGCTGTGGGTTTTGTTGTTTAGAAAAAGCCTACAATGAGAAATTCTACTTTAAACAAAACACCTTTGAGTTTTAGTGTTTTCTGATTAAAGGCACGCAATGTGCTGGATGAATATGCTGCAATCCATTGATTGAGACCAATACAGGCAAAGAAGTTATTGAAAAATAAGTGATGAGGGCAAAATTGTCTATTATCAGCCATTAGATATTGAAGAAAGAAATCCCCCAATCCTAAGGTTCAGTAGTAAGGAATTTATTCTGAAAAAACACCCCATATAACTGTGCATTGGTTCTAGACTCAAAGTTTATTATAAGTAACATTTAAATATTTTGAGTAATAAATAAGAAGATGCAGTTCAACAACGACAGCTGCACAAGGTCATCATTAATTAAGCTCTGCACCAGCCTTCTTGAACAGATTAGCCTGACACATTTCACATTAAAAAACTGAGATGTTAGGAATTTGTTCATCATTGGTTTCAACTTTGAAACAGCTAGATCTTAGAAAACAGCTAAGGAATAATTAAATGTTGGAAATGCACGTGTAGTTTTACTTGGAATAGTCTCTCCCTGAGCAAGATTTGCAAACAGTAACTGATTTGATAGATATATATCATCATTATTCTAAGAATTAAAAATATTAATGTTTGTTACACCCAACATTCTATAGCAGAACAACTTGTCCAAGGAATCTCTGTGGATAAAGAAAAAGTTGCTGTAAAGGGACCCTGAACACTTTATTTCAGGAAGCAATTTCCAGGTCACTGCCATGGCTTCCATTTCTCAGTTAGCAGCTATTACACATTTCATTATGATTCTTTTTATCTCAAACTCAACTTGCCCACCTCTAATAGCCTATGATTTCCATATCACCTAACTGGGGCTTTTATCAGTCACTTCCACAATCAGGCTGCAGCCCTTTAGCACCTGCAGGGCCCTGATCAGAAACACCACATTAAATGTACTTCACAGATTCCAGGGATGACTGCACCATGCTCAGCTTTAATAACAAGTTTGTGTTGATAGGATGCAGCTGACAGCAGGTCAGACTGTACAGCCAAACTACCCTATTTACCCCCATCACTACTATAGAGTGTAATTCTGACCAATTTAAATCCCAGGCACTTAAATAATTTGCACAGTGCCTGCAACTCTGACTCTTCCAAACAGATACCAAAACTCACATGGATTCTAGGGCAGGAAAAAACTGAAAGCCTGCAGGTGAAGGAGCCCATAAGGCTAGCCACCTGTTTAGTGTTGTTAACAGGTGTATCAAACAGCAGGCCTTCCTCTGGGAAAGAAGACAAACTAAACACAGCCAAAACACACAAAGAAGCAGCAACAGGGACAGAATGGAACACAGCATCTGCTTACCGGGATGGATGCAGCAGCCAGAAATGAGAAATCACAGAAAGGAAACACTTTTGAGGAAAATCAATATATATATATACATTTTTAAGCTCAGCAACCTCTGCAAACTTGGTTTACATTTTATTGTTTCCCTTTATTTTCCATGCAGATGCACACATGCAAAGGCACTACAATCCAGACAGGCAAAACAGATCATTGGTGGTGCTGGTGGTTTGTTTTTAAGTCAGGTTGTTTTTGCTGGCTTTAGTTTAAGGTCCCCCATTAACCAGCTTGAGTTCCTACATCGGCTCTCATAACATTTTTCCTTGAAGTAAAATTAGTTTAATGATTAAGCAGTGCATAGGTCTGAGATATTGTTATTATTGGGCTGGCTGTAGACAGTAATAACTATTGCTTATTTACTGGACATTTCACCAACGTGAAACTCTACAATAGGCTATTAATAGCATCCATTTATTAATAATTTGCCTCTCCAAAAAAGATAAAAAACTCACATTAATAGTTAAAACTAGAGAGAAAAAACAGACAAATTCAATTCTTATGCCATCACAAGCATATTCTGTACCACAGAAGAACACTAAAATATCCCAGAGCTTTAAAGATTTGTTCACATTCTCCCTGTTCCAAGAAAATTACTTCAGTATGTCCAAGGTACTGTTTCAGCTCAGAAAAAGTGCTTTTTTTTTTTCTTTCCCAAAATTCCTACATTTACACAGTTCCCAAGCACGGAAATGTTTGTACAAAGCACGGAAGCATTGAGTGATCAGCAACAAAGTCTGACATCCACCAAGACCTTTAACTGTACAAAATGGCTTTTAAGATCTCAACTGTAGAGGTTTGCATGCAAAGCAGGATGGGAACTTCTCAAGTCTTTGGGTCTCCCTTGGTACCTTACCTCCTAAAGACACGAAACCAAACCTCTACCATTTCTATTGCAACTAGGTTTGCAACTGTAATGACATAATATGATGGGAAGCGCAGCAGCAGCACTACAGAAGCAACTTCCTGGGCTGTAGCAAGTGAGCATAACACATGTTGTGCTCATAACACAACTACAAGCACAGAAATAAGGAAAGAAACTGCTCACCTTCAGAGAGCCTCAGGCACACAGGAATCCAGCAAGAGATCCTCACCTCCACTGCCAGCCCTTAAATGAGGGCTGGGAAGGGGTGGATCCTGGCTCCAGCCCTTCTGATCACTCAGCTACATTGCATGCACCTGGGCTCCCCTGGGCTGGCCCTGCCTTCCCACCAGGTGCTCCATCACTGGTGCAAGCTGTGACTTAGCATTTCTACTTCTGCATCCCACGCTGCCCATACACAGCTCCTCTAATGAGTTTTCACGTTTTTGCTGTTCACCTCCATATTTTGAAGACTCACATTCTGCTGGGACCATGCCTTGGTTTGTGTTGGAATTCAGTTGACAATGACCCCAGTCCACATCTATCTGTCAGGAAAGTAAGGCAGTGTCCACACACCCAAGGGCCGGGCTATCTTACATTGTGTGTCATTTCTTCATTAAGAGATCATTAAAGCAGATTGCTTCTACTGCATCAAAATTGGCTGCTAATTGTGAAAATAAGCAGTCTGATAATTTTATATATTTTAAGTTCATGATTGCTATCCTCAAAGCATATAATGTTGGCGTTCTTATGCCTTATGTTTAAACACACGTTGCAAAGGAATACTCGAAACACAAATGCATACTTGCATCAAGTAGCTGCCTTAAGCTTGTTTTCTGCATAAACACCAAACAAACCATCAGGATGGCGTTGTCAATACCACCAATGGCTTTTTTGTTTTGTTTTGCAGGAACATCATTTCGCTTTTAAGCACGCACCTCGTTCAAAATCGAGCCCAGCGCCGCGGCAGCAGAGGCAGAGCAGCTCCTAAAGCAGCGCCGGCCCGAGGCAGGGCCGCCTTCGGCCTCAAAGCACGAACTGCAGCGCCGCCCAGCGGCACCAGGCGGCACTGCACGCAGCTGCACCGAGCACCGCCGGCTCGCGGAGGGAGAAGCGGCTGCGCCCCATTTTTGCTGCACGGTTTTAGCTCGGATTGTTTCATCAAATGTACAACAGCGCTTGTGCTTATGTTTTTTATGCCATCCGTATCTTTGCCTAAGGAGTATTTGCGATCTTGTTCTATTCGTTTTGATCCCAAGCTTTCCTGCGTACGTGCGTTCATAAAGATTTTTAAACTCGAAGGCTAGAGGAATAGATTTACCTACCATTATTTATCGTACTTCATACAGAAATTTGAGGGTGACGATAGGTGCAAAAACACCAACGCTCCGGTAGATCTGTTTGCTTTTCAATTCCGCATAGACCACTAACAAACAAAACTGCAAGACTCGACTACTTTAACTCCGCAAGCTGCTGAGGCTGCGGGCTGAGGCGGCCCAAAGCAAGGCTCGGCCCGCGGGATGCGCGTTACCGGGCGCGCGCGCTCAGCTGAGGCTGGAAAACAGAGCAAACCGGAACGGCTCTGCTGCCGCCACGTGCCCGCGCAGCTCCCGACGCCTCCACGCTGGCAGCAGCAGCCTCGCGCTCATTGGCTGAGAGGGAGCGGGGCGGGGCGAGGCGGGACGCCCTCTAAGGCTAGCAGAGCGATCTGCGCCTGCGCAGATGCTAAAGATTACGCTCCAGCGGCCGCCCCGCTTCCTCCCGCGTCCACCAATAGCAGGCCGGTTCCGAGTCCTCTTCCCGCCCCTCTCGCCCCGGAAGCGGAAGTGGATGTGCCCCCCGCTGTGGCCGCCATATTGGGGCTGTGGAGGCGGGGGGAGGGGGGACGGAAGGCAGGATTCGGCTCAGCCGCCTGTGAGTAACTGCGGCCCGGCGTCAGGAGCCCGGCCTGGGTTCGGGGCGGGGGCTGCGGGCCGGCGGTGGCGCCGCGTGGGGGGGCGGAGGTACAGACAGGCCGGGGTCTGCTGTGCCGCATCCCGTTCCGGGCCGCTCCGGGCCTCTCCAGGCCTGTGCTCGCTCTGCCAACCGCCGGGCTCTCTTCAGCGGGCTCCGCTTTTGCCTTACGGGTCACTCCGGCTGCTCTCAGTGTCAAACGTTGCCAACCGAAGTGCCTTTGGCTTTTATTTGATTTTTTTTTTTTTTTTCTGACTCGGTTCCTGGCTCCGTTGCTGTGCTGCGGTGGGTGGGCGCGGGCTGGCCGGGCGCCTCGGGGGAAACGGCCCGTTTGTAACCATTGCGGCGGTCCTGAGCCTGTCCTTCGTTCTGGCACCGGCACACGGCTGTAGGACGTTGCTTTACAAGGAAACTTTCTTGAAGCGATGGGGAAACTGATATAAACTGTGGTATGATCTTACTAGCTTCCTTGGCGTTTTATGCTTAAGAAAGCTTTTATTGTGGTCAGAGGTTTGTTTGAAAGTTCAGTAACTGTGTGCGACTTTGGAACAGGTGGCTTAGATGACTTTTGGCCTCAGGAACTCGAGGATACAATTAGTTTGTGATGGTATTACCATAACAACAGAGGTTAAAATGCCCCTGTTGTTCTGCTCACCTTGGTGTTGTTCAGTGGCAGTTTGGGCTGTGCTCTGCTGGGTGCAAACTGCCGTTTGTTGTATCAGTCTTTGTATGTCCTATTGGCTTTACAATTATCGTAACTCATTCTGAAAGAGGAATTGAAAAACCTGGTCTAGTATTAAATGTGGAGGTTGGTGGCCCTGTCTGTGACAGGGGGTTGGAGATTTGTGGTACTTGAGGTCCCTTCCAACCCAGGCCATTCTGTGATTCTGTAGTTGCTGCTGTTTGGGTTTAATTAATCCCATATAGCTATAAGGTATGGCTTAGGTTCTTTGCTGTAAACCAGCTCCACTGCCGAAGGTGGCTCTCCTCAATGCTTATGGCTTACAGTTGTTCTTTAAATGAATGTTTTAAAATGATGAGAGATGCTAAGTCAAATTCTTAAACTTTGTCAGGTGATGCTGTAGTCTGCACTGCTTATGGAATCCCTACTGGCTGCTTTCAAGCCAAAGAGACAGTGTTAGCTGCTTGCATTGCTTGGCCTGCCATGGAGGAGCTGTATGGATGATGAACAATCATGTAGTTGCACATACAGTGCCTCCTTACATCAGGCAAAATTTCTATTCCATTTAAAAGCCATTGGTAGCTTTGTAGATATGATTTATTGCTTGTTCTGTAGGTCAGTCTCTGCACAACTGGAGTGGTAGATCTGCTTGTAGCATGCAGTAGTCAGGTATGTTGTGATGTGAATATTGATTTGAGTTTTGATGTTTGCCATCTTTAGAAAACTGTTATTCAATCATCAATAGATTGAATATCTTTTTTGTTGTGGTTTTATATCTCAGGATGATTCAAACCCACCCCAAATAAAGCACAAAATGATGCTCAGCTAATACTGCTGAGTAATTTCTTTCTTCTGCAGTGCAGTGAATGGGCAGAATAATAATTACTTCCTTTCTGTCTGTAATTAAAATGTCTCTTTTTTTTGCATGAGTTTCCGTTGGGTTTTGTTTTCTTTTTACCATAACTAGAATTAAACTGGACTGAATCTTTTGAAGCCTCATGATCCTTTTCCCTTTATCTTTTCAGGTGTAACAGGGCTCCTTTTTTCCTACTTCCTATTTATTCTATAGGATCTGGTTTTCAGGTGTTTATAGGAAATAGCTTCAAGTTTCTTTGACTGCCGAGACTGTCCTCAGTCTCAGTTTTTCCACTGCAATATCTAAGTCTATATTCTTCTGAATTAATGATGTTTCACTCGTGTGTGCTGCCATCTGAGGCTCTGGAGGTGTTAATATCGTGGTGAAAGTCCTCCAGCTGTCTCAGAGGTGTGTAGTCCCACCCCCAGATGGGGAGTCCAGGAAGTAATGTCAGGGATTGCTTTTGATGATGTGGCAGACGTGTTTCTGTTTAGATTCAATTTCATTTTGTTTGCTTTATATCTTCAGTAGACTGATAAAGCTTAGTTGGACTTAACTCAAGAGTAAAGATCTTGTACTGGTAGTAGGAAAGTGTCCTTAAAAAAAAAAAAACACAAAAAACAAAAGCAAAGGAATTATTTTTTATCTGGAGTCGGAATCCTGCCTTGTTCTTTATGTTTACAATTTTAGTGATACATAAAACTATTCTGGACTTCAGGGCTCTTCGTGTTCTTTAGATAAGCTCACTGATTCATGCTAGGAGTGTTTCGGTTTGGGTGCTTATGACAAATGTTTGTTTCTGTAACCACTTGTGTACAAAGTTCAGAACCTAAATGCTTTGCCGTTTAGTTACGCTGTATTTGAAAGTCTTAAGCAGCTTGAAAAAGAAATATTTATTTTGGTTTTGTTCTTTGTCTTTAGACACTGAGGTGACAGGAGGGTGGTGCTGCAGTGCATATCAATGCTTAGATGTTATAACTCAGCTCCTGCCTTATCAAGGTGATGTCTAACAAGGGTCATTCCTGTATTTCTGTGTGAATTTGTTTTTCCTTCCCTAAAATGGATTGGATCCTCTCTTGCCTTTGTAAAAGTACCCTTTTCTCTGACTTCTTGACAGTTTCTTCTAGAACTGAATTTCTTTTGAAATAAATGTCTTCTCTCAGAATACTTTTTTTTTCAAATAGGGTTATCCAAAAGAATGTAAGAACATAAGACATTCTGTACTATGAAGTTTTACAGCGCTTAGCTTTTTGTTTGAAATGTTACCTATGTGTTTTATTTTCACAGCAACCATGTCAGAAGGGGACAGTATTGGTGAGTCTGTTCATGGAAAGCCTTCTGTGGTCTATCGATTTTTCACAAGACTTGGGCAGGTTGGTTTTCTCTAGGATTTCTCTGACTCCATCAGAAGCAGAACTCAATGCAAAGTGTAATGAGTTTGAGGTTGGAGGAACTGCTGAAATACTGAAATCTGTACAAAAGATTTCATTTGAAATGTTGTAAAAATAGACAACAAATATTCTAATGCATAGTTTAATGGAACATTTAATGTGTGTATGTATGATGCTGCATATGGAAATATGCTCTTATCATCAAAAAACGTTGCTTTATGTTCCCTGTCATAATCATGTTAAAGAAAGTCAACTTAAGGGAGATAAAGAATGAAAGGTTTAAGATCTGGGTTTCTTTCTGGTGACCCAAGTATTAGGAGTTTGGGTTTTCTGGCCTTTATGGAAATGTAGAGCTTATATTTTAAAGATTTATAAGTATGTTTATAATTAAAGTTAATTGTAATAAGCATGTTTCATGTTACTGTTCGTTCCAAAATATATTTACAAATGCTTACTATTTCTAATGCTGCCCTGAAATATGAATTATTCATTGGGCAACATATATTTTACAGCTGCTTACTTTGTATTTCTTCCCAGATCTACCAGTCCTGGTTAGACAAATCTACTCCATATACTGCAGTGCGATGGATCGTAACTTTGGGTCTGAGTTTTATCTACATGATTAGAGTTTATTTACTGCAGGTAGGAAAACTGGACTTACTGATCAGATAGTTTTAGATATCATTAGTGTTCTATTATTTCTGTTAGGAGGATTTCAGGAATTATGTTTTGTGTCATTAGAACACAGTAAGGGTAAATCAGGTAGTCTGAGGAGGAAACTCTTGCTGGTGTTAAACTCATGCCTTCAGACTAAAGAATTTGTGAATGCATAAGATCATTTATTTGATGGTAATGTAAAGTGGAAGTACTGCAGTAATTCTGTTGAAATTACGTAATAAATTTCTGAAAACTTTGTAGCCATTAAGGTTTTATTTTTAAAGCTGAGTAACTTGTTCAGGAGCCCATGATTACCTTTGGTTATGCAAACTGTGAGGAGTTGCTTTTTTGGCACTTCTGCAGGCCAGCAGCAGGCTATTTCTCCACTGATCAGATGCCTCTATCTCATGCCAGTCTGCAGTTCATTGTAGAGCTTGAGAATGGTGATTTCAGGAAACTGGACTTTGCAGACTGAATGCAAGAAGTGTGCAGACAGTGGTAATAGGAATATTTAAGAGACTGAAGCCTACAAAGATGCTTTAAACAAAGCAAGCCTTGCTTTCTTGCTTTTTGCTGCTTTTATAATATCTGCATTTTGAAAATGGAAGCCAGGTGTCCGAGAAAAGCTTTTATTAAATCCATTAGTGTACCACTCATGTTAAGGTTTGTTGTAATTAATATATTAGGTTTACTGTAAGGAAATTTAAGAAATGTTTAGCTTATTAAGAATGATAGATTTAAAGTTTTTGCTAGTTTTCCAATAAGTTTGGTCAATATTTAAGTAAATTTAAAGGAAAACTCTTATGTTTTCTATCAGTATAGAAATAGTGGAAAACATGTTTGTGGGGTTTTTTTTTGTTGTTGCTTTGTTTTCAAGAAGAAAACCTCTCGTGAATGTGAGGACACAGAGAAGCACTTTTTATGGAAGCAGAAACCAAATTGATTGAAAATATCTGAGAGTGGTGTGCTGGAGGTCTTTAACCTTTTCTTCTTTGTTTCCTTCCTTTCTTCAGGGTTGGTACATTGTGACATATGCCTTGGGAATCTACCATCTAAATCTCTTTATAGCTTTCTTGTCGCCAAAGGTAGATCCCTCTTTAATGGAAGATTCAGGTATGGTGAATTCATTCTGCAGTAATTTTGAACTAATTAAACTTCCAGCTCATTTTGTCTGATATAATAATGTAAGGATGTGCAATTTCAGTCTGACACTGTATTCTTCAACTTGTAAAAACTCCATACAGTTTAAATTAGAAACTGCTATGAAATTGGTCTCAAAGTGATTTTTTCAGGTCTTGAACAATTCCATATTGTGTTAATCTTTATTTTGACAGAGGGTGTACATGACTTAAATTTTCCCTGCAATAACTCAGTGACCTGGCACTCATTTTTGTTATCTGTTTTTTTAATGGGAAGCCAACCCTGTTATACTAAAACCACAACAGTAACTGGAATCTTTGTAACAATGAGAGTTGATTGTTTTTTCTTCTTCAGATGATGGTCCTTCCTTACCTACAAGGCAAAATGAAGAATTTCGGCCTTTCATTAGGAGGCTCCCAGAGTTTAAATTCTGGTGAGTTGGTCTATCTGCCCACGTTCTGTTTCTGAAATGTTTAAATATCTACATTAATTAACGGTGACTGGTGTTGAAGGATTAATTGTTAATGCTATTTTTAAGGCACTCGGCCACTAAAGGCATCCTGGTTGCTATGGCATGTACATTCTTTGAGGCTTTCAATGTTCCTGTTTTTTGGCCAATCCTTGTGATGTACTTCATTATGCTGTTTTGTATCACTATGAAGAGGCAAATCAAGGTAACTTGCTAAGAACACAGAATAGCATTTGTGATGTCAAAATGTACAGTGTTGTTTCAACCTCTGTCTAGTTAACTGCATTACAAGTATTAAATATGTTGTGTGCATTTCTTTTGCTAGAGAAATTTGAATCCCTAATACTTAAAAATTAGGTGTATATTAGTAGAAAACAAAAATGCTTGGGGAAAAACCTTCATATAGTACATATACAAAACTTGATGCTTAATTCCAAAGAAGTTTTTATCTTAAAAAAACATAGAATTTTAATGAGTCTTACAATTTCTGACCTCCTTCCTTCCTGAGGTTAACTATCGCTGTTTATAATGAAGGGGTCTTTTAGAGTCTCTGGTGCATGACAAATCAAACTCTGATGAGTTGAGAGAAAAACATATGCAAATCTTTCAGACATGCTTTTAAGAAACTTCTTAATATTTGTTGATGTTTTTAAAAGAGAACCATTTTCTTTCCAGACACTCAGGATTTTGATAAAGTACCATTACTCAAATGTAAACTAAGTGGCAGGAGTCCCCTAATGAGTGAACTTTACTGTGCTCTGCATGTTGTTTGAGTATAACCAGATTTGAAAATTGGGCTCATAGCATTATTTAAACCATGATTAGCTTTTGAAGTACTGTAGAACTTTCTCCCTAGAGGACTGTGTCAGTTATATTTTATATTATGAAACATTTTTTGTAAACGTTATCTGTATTTCTTGCTTCTAAAAATTCGTATGTTTTTCTTCACAGCATATGATAAAGTACAGATATATACCCTTCACACATGGCAAGAGGAAATACAAAGGGAAAGAAGATGTGGGAAAGACCTTTGCTAGCTAGAAGGTGCAATCAACCTTTTGACCAATTCTGCTTACAACTAAAGGAACGATTTTTGAGCCATTGTAACAATGCCTTTTTTCTTCATAAAATGATTGAGTTGTGACAAAGCAGTTGAAGTTTCATTTTAAGAGGATCTCGCTATTTTTATCTGAAGTATCGGTTGCTTGAAGAAACTGGCATTCTAACCAACTTGCTTTGAGTTTATCTTTTGTGAGAAGTTGGAGAAACTTTGGATGATCCCCTGGATTTGGGATAACGGATTTCTTTCAGGATCCATTGCACTGGAGAGATGAATGGCTTTGAGTTTGATGTTTTTACATAGTTCTTCTCAGTATCACCCTGAAGTGCTGTGCACGTATGTAGAAAAAAGTCAGGTGGCACACATGATGCTGTTTTCTGCTTCATGGCCATGTGCTATTTTCATATAAAATTCAGCAGATCTAAATAGATGCCAGTTTGCTAAATGCATGATATTACTGAGTCATAAATATAAATAGAAAAAGAAATCTACAAATGTAAGGATTTTGCAGTAGGGAGAAAAACGCACACAGCTTCTAAAGTAACTCATTTCTGTTAGGTTTCAATGCCAGTTTCACCATTACACCTCCTAGCAGATGCTAAAATTGGGTTCCTTCGTGATGACTCAAAGTTTTGTTCAAAATCTATTCCAGTTTCCTTTGAGGACATGGAATTATAAATATATATATTTTAATTGTTTTAGTTGGAATTTCTTTCATACCTAAGGGTTTCTTGATTAACTTAAGCCAACTTCGTGCAGCCCCTTCAGAATATACTCCAACTGGCCATAGGAGACAAACTTTGTGGGTTTTAACAAAGATTTTCATTTTCTATAGTTAAAAAAAAAAAAAATCAGATAAATGACCTGCATGTAAACTTTTTCATGTGATACAACTGCAGTTTTATTAAGTGACTTTTTAATTCCAAAATTTATTAAAAGACAGTGTCCCCCTTTGCTTGTTCTCTATTATCTTTATATATATATATTATACGTATAGAAAGATCTAATAGTATTTATGGATTCTTTGCAGTAGTGATTACCCTAAGAATTTATCTTCATGTGACCTATTTTAGATCTTCAGGGAACATTCACTGGGACAAGGTAGATAAAGTTAAGCTCTTCAAAGATTCTAAATGGAGAATAGTGTCAACTTCAACTGATGCCTTATTGGAAAACGTATGTAGGAATCCCTTTATATGACTTTGTTGAATGAAGTCAAGGCGCCCTAGGATTCAGCCTTTGCTAAACCTTGAAAAGGGAAAGGTAGTTTAAGTTGATGTTGGCCTAGTTTTTGTTTGTCAGCGTGTGTTTTTCGTATCAATATGGAAACTAGTCTAACTTCAAATTACAGAAACACTGCATCTAGAAAGAGCCTTACAGAAGTACCCATCATTGACATTTGTAGATCTTTGCCCACTAGTCTGAAAGCCCTAACTTGGAGGTTTGCTGGAGTTTCTGAATATGTGGGTAAGACTTGGAGATTTGTATGATTTCTTTTTAAATGTTAGCAACTGGAGTGACTCCTGAGCATTGAGATATGAAAACAGCCATTGCAAATTACAGATTTTTACCTTCACCTGATTTCTAACTTAAGTGGCAGCATAAGAACAGATTTCTTCTCATTAATAGATGTATAGCTGTTCAATATTCAGTGGGGTTAGCAGTTTTCAAATACATATTGTGGATGATATCAGGATGACTATGTAATTCCTTAGGTGACTCTCAGCTTTCAAAGGCCAGGCAAGTTTGACAGCATTTTGTTAAACTTTGCTCTATTTTTATCACTGAGGAGTGATGAGTTACCATTACAGAATGCATGAAAAACTTGGATCACCAGCTTCACAGCCACTTCCCAGTCATTGACTGATTCCTGTTTGTTTCTATGTGCAGATATCTTTCCTCACTGTTTTTCATGGTAAGGAGAATGCTTATAATGCAGTCACTTCCTTAGCACATCTTTGTGTCATATGGACCATTTTTCTGCCATGGCTGTCTTTACAGTTTTAAACACGGGGATGCCTGAAATTTTTCTAGTGTAAGAACGGGAAGATATTGCAGCTCTGAAAATCAGCTTTTGTACAATACTGCTGAAGTACTTGCACAATAACTTTTTATTCGATTTGTAGGTACGAAGGATTTATTTGAGGATTTATTTGAGGATTCGCGCTTGAAAATTTAATAATTAACTAGCTCACATCTCTGCGATACAAATAACTGTTAAAAGAAGTGCTCTTACTGTAGCTTGCCCCTCCCAATCCGTGTTTGGTGCTATTTGTGCAAGATTGATTGAAACAAACTCATGATCTGCCAGTGGATCACATGGATTTCCCTCTCCATCTGTATTGAAATAGAATCAACTTCCTCTTGCACATACTGTGCAAAAATAAGGTGGTGTTTAATAACTGACAATCTTATTTTTTTTCCCTGATGCTCTAAATGCTTGTGTAACAGAACTAATTATAACTTAGGGAAGCAAACTTGAGGAGATAATGCTGCTGAATCCCTCCTCATTCATACTCTCACATACTGGCTCTGCCTAAACAGTTCCTATTACCATAAAGAGAGTAGAAGGCCTGTGGCTGAAATCAGCTTCTTCCCTGTGTTAGACTGCAGAAAAGGCCATGCAGACAAAACATAGGCTGTTATAAAACTAATTTGTTACAGTTGGGCATAGTTTGCTCTTAATATCCTGTAGTGGAAATGCTAAGTCACTTGCACCAGTGATGTAGCACTTGGTAGGAAGGCAGGGCCAGCTCAGGGGAGCACAGGTGCATGCAATGTACCTGAGTGATCAGAAGGGCTGGAGCCAGGATCCACCCCTTCCCAGCCCTCATGTAAGGGTTGGCAGTGGAGGCAAGGGGATCTTGCTGGAGATCCCTGCATACCTGAGGCCTTCAGAAGGTAAGCAGCTTCTTTTCCTTTGTTTCTGTGCCCATGGCTGTTGTATTTGAGCAAACCCTCTTGCTGTGGCCTGGGATCTTGCTGCTCTGCTGTCACTGTTGCACCTTCCATCACATTACACATATACACTAGGACTTTGAAACACTTCTTACGTTGCTATAGTCTAAGTGTCTGAAATACTTGATTAAAATCTTTGTAATAATAATGGTAGAGTTTTGAGGATAAAAGCTCAATGTTGATTTGAATAATAGACATTTTGCATTACTTTGGGCTTGCATTTGTTGCTTCTGTTGATTTAGGGAAGCTTTGTCAAATCAAAGAAAGCTGCTTTATTGTTAACTTTACTATGAAAACTGAATGTTATGTGATACACTTTTACCACCAGAAATCCCACTGCAAGTGAAGTAAGGACTCATGTGCATCCTCTGATACTGTTTTTTTTGTTTTTCCCTGAAAGCTATAGCATGGACTCTTGTAGTGTTAATTACCTAAAGGGAGTCTTAAAAATAGTAAAATGTTAGTAATGCCTTAAGCGTGTTATGAAAGGTTGAAAAATTTATTACTCAAATTTAGAGAAAATGACTTAAATTTTTCATTGTTTGAAGTGAAGACTATCACACTTCTTTAAGCAACTTTTAGAAAGACATTTTTAATATGGTCAAGAACCATAAAGCAAGAAACAGGAAGAAGCAGAAATAGATTTATTTTGTAAAACAGGAATGAAGTGCCACCTTGTACAGGCAATTACCAGTTTTACAATAAAGTCTTGTTCTTGGACTAACCTGAACTGTATGACCACTCTGTATGAAGGTATGGGAGCAGAGGCCCTTGTAATGGAACGGGATTTTTCCTCACAGTTGATAGTGGCGTAGGTAGATCAGCTTCTGAGGATGAAACTTCTCTCTGCAGAGTGGACATTCTGTCTACAAAAAGCAAAGATATTCTAAATAGCTGTATTTAAAAGGTTAAAAATAAAGAAAAAATCCAACTATGTTAAACAAGAACTAGAAGATGAGCTTCTATAATGACATGTTTTTTTCAGTCCAGTCTGCATTGCATGCTTAACCAGGTAAAGCTCTGAAAAGTAACCTTGCTCAAATTTCAGCTTGAGGTGATGTGTTTAAAATATGACCTCAAATCCATAGGTATCGTACACAGCTTCCAACACCTTAAGTTGCTTCAACTACCTAATTCTTAAGAGAAGTGACTTCTCAGATTTTACCTTCAAGGAAGTCTGTCTAGTGAAATATCTCAAATGGTCATTGAGATGTTTTTCACGTGTTCTGCTACCCCTGAATATTGCCAAGCAATGCTGCCATATACTCTTTTTCAGAGGCATTATTTTTTCATTCTTTATGCTTAAATTAATTCTACTTCTGCTTGCAGCTGAATTAGAACTAGCGCAGTGCTAGTCTCTTTATTGCTCACTTTGCCCAAAATAATTCCAGGGTACTTTGAGTTTTAGGAGTCCTTTCTAGGTACCAGCTTCAGTTGTACTCAGTAGTACATTTGAACTTCTGTTTTGTGCAGGAAGGTCTTCTGAACTTTGAGTTCCCTGTCTTTGTGTATTGAACTTGCAAATCCAGCTGAAACTTTGTAACATCTGCTGCCTCCCTTATATTTCAGAAACAACAGCTGAGGTACTGAAAATTGCTAACTCTGTAGTGGGAAGGAAGGTAGCTTGGTTTGTGCTAGGAAAGCATTAAATGAATCAGACTACCTGATTCTGTTTTGCCAGAGCTTTATCAGTATTAGTGTCAGAAAACTTAAGTAGATCTAAAGCAGCTACAGTAATACATCAGAGTTACAGTGCTGGCCTGGGCCCTGTGGCAAAGATTTTATTTGTAAGTAGCCTTTTTTTTTTTTTAATAAGTATTTTTTACTCATAAAATAAATGGATAATGCCTTATTCCAAGATAGCTGTAGAAAACCTTCATGGATGAAAATTGTTTATTTCATTAATGCAAAAAAGAAAAGTCATCTTAAGTTAGCTCAATTAGTTTGTAACTTACTCCATTGTACTGGAAATTAGAACACTTATCGGTTCTGTTCTTTGCAGTCAGAATTATAGCCTGGGTCTTTATTATGAGTGTGCCTGACTTCTTCAGTTAATTCAATTGCATTTCAATGGCTGAATCAGAAACATCTCATTTACCTCATCAAAGTAATATATAGTAACATATCCTAGTACAATATATGGATCCCACTAAACATCTGGGGGGATTTTGGGTGTCTTAGGGAGGGAAAAGGTAATATTTCATCAAGGAGCTAGAGATTTCATAATGCTTGCTCTTGGGCTCTGTTTGTCCCACTGTACTTACTCTGGTATTACACCACTCAGTGATGCATTCCCAGCAGAACAGGTGCCCACAAGGTGTGGCTGTTGCATGTCTCCGTTCCTCCAAACACAGAGTGCAGCGGGACTGGCGCCCAGTAGTTTTTTCCTTTATCGTATTTCTAATCAACACAGGTATTAATTAGTTTTATGAGGCCTGTTTGCAAGAAATACTTGTTAACACAATCTTTGTAAAGCCTTCCTTCAACTGTCAACCCTTCCTGTGAGAGTCCCGTACATAAAAGCAAGGCATGAAATCTAAGATGTTTAGTACAGTGAGCGTGTCCAATGTTATGCTACATTAGGTTCTATCTTAAGTCAAAATGTAATTCCAGTGCTCTCCCTATTTGTGAAAGCCATTATATTCCCACTATTGCTTCTACCTTTCCTATTAAGTAAAATGAACATACTTCTGGAGAGCTAGGTTGCGGTGTAGCTTCCATTCCTGCCTTGCTCTCTGCTTTTGTTGGAAGCTGTATATCTGAACACCAATTGTCAGAAGAAGATGGAAGAGTGAAATTATTCCAAGGAACTTGTAACTTGATCGAATGCTCTGATCTTCTCCTTGTACTCCTCCAAAGTGCAGCTGCAAAATGCACAGAAATAGAGATGTTT